GAAATAGGTCATTTTTACATCCACATTTTATGGCATATTCGTATACCACATCAGGAACATTGCAAACAGAATCTCCTGTAGCAAAGGTAGGCTTAGACTTCTGCTGTGTAGACTTTGCGTGTGTGTGTGTGTGTGTGTGTGTGTGTGTGTGTGAGTGTGTGTGTGTGTGTGTAGTGGTGTTTTCCCCTTATGTATACATACTTTTTAATGTAGAAATAGTCACACATACATTTATATATAGCTTACATATGTTCCTACACATGTATGGATTCATATTATGTTACCTTTAGAAGTTGGTTTTTGCATTTTACATTTATTTTTAACTAAAGTATTATTCTGTCACTTGACCCCTTCCCTTTCCCACCTCCAACCTTCGTCCTGCCCCTTCTCTCCAACTGTGGCGATGACAAGGTATGGTGAAGGAGCCTGGGCTGGTGGCAAAATCACAGTCCTCCTGCCTGCACTCTTGAGTGCTGGAATTCCAGGTTTGTGGTTATCACAAGCAAATGGGATTCGATATTTACAAAATATGTGTAAGGTGCTGCAGTTGAAAAGACAAAGAAACACTTTCGAATCTATGGTGCTGTTGACCAAATAGATCCCAAATCCCAAAACACCGTGTAAACTGCCGGAAAGCACACTGAATAAAATCACCGCCCTGGAACCCTGGGACCCCGAAATTGCTTATCTGAAATTACAATTAAACTGCATCTGAAGTCATCAGGTGTTTGAGATGGAAAAGAAAAGGCAGGTTGAGGGGTCAGGCACACTAAAAGTTTGGAAATGTTGTCTCACAGGTCCCGAACAGTGGAGGAGATGGTGGGAAATGAGAGGAGACTCCAGAGGCAGATGAGTGGGTCAGGGGAAGTGAGGTAGCACCCATAGCTTCTCTGATGGGAACAGTGGGCTAGCTCATAAGGGATTCAAAACAACCCTGAGGCTCAAGACCTTTTAGTAACCTTGCATACCACAAGCAGAAGGGGATGTTACTAGACTTCTGCATTTTACCATTAATTTTGATGAACATTTATCAATTGTACCCATTAACAGGGCCTAGTGTGTGTGGTATTTCCACATGGGTATATCATATTGTTTGCAATGAATGAAAACTACTAAACAACTATAAAACAAACAAACAACAGAACCTTCTGGAGGTATTGCCATGCAAGATTTCAAGTCATACTATAGATCTACAGAAATAAAAACAGTATGGCACTGTCAAAAACACAGAGAGTCAGCCTCTTTGCTGGCTCCAGTGTGGATGTAGCGGGTATGCCACAGACCCACATGGTATGGTTCAATGCATGGATTCTGTGAGGCTCCTGGGACAGACAGGATTTTCTCTGATTTTCCTTTTGTTAATTGCTGCCCTCGTGCAAAGTGACTCCTGCAAAACTTGATGATCCGAGTTCCATCCCCGGGTCCCACATGGTAGAAGGAGTAAAGTGACCTCTGTTTGTCCACTGTGACAGCTGCACACAGGCATGCAAGATAAATGATCAAATATTTCAAAGATCCCTTCTTTCTTGACTCAGAAACATTGACTGCAAATGTTCATCATTGAACCCAGCCAAATGTTATAAATCATAAGCTAGTGTGTCTAATCTATACTCTTCCGCAATCCTGCTAAAAAGGTAAAGATACCGATAAATAGGATAAGTAGTTGTAAAACTTAAAGTCATAGCAACCATATTTCAGAGAGGAAAATAATGATGAGGGAAGCACAGTAAGGTGCCGAGGAAGTATGTGCGGGAGACGGGAAGGACACTGGACGTGGACACATAAAAGCAATGGCTGAACTGGAAATTTGTCATTGTCAGGAAGCTTGCATGACCCCGGGGGCTTCCTGTGGGCATCAGTTATGACATTCCTTCTGTTCCTTCTTAGGGTCATTGCTTTTATCAAGGACACGTTGCCGAGATCCCAGCATCAACTGTGACCCTCAGCACTTGTTCAGGTCTCAGGTACCACTCTGGAAGTGTGAACTAAGATTGTTTGTCAAACTTTAGTTTTCACAGAATGAGGCCCCCCCAAAAAAAACAACAGGAAAAGGAAAAATAAAAAGGAAGAATACAGAGCTGTAGACTGTGGTGGCTGTGTTTATATACCTCCTTTATTCCCAGCTCCCTGTCTTGTCCTTCCATGTACATTTTTTTAGGCTTCTTTGCATTTTACCATCATAAACCCTAAGCAGAGAAACCACCCATGAGCAGGGAGAGAATTCCCATTTTCTAGCCACATCAGACCACAATTTTTCTTAAGTGCCATAACGGAGGGAAGATAGGTATTGTTGTAATTTAAGAAAAGTACCTGACAGAAAGATACTATGAGACACGGTTCAAGCAAAGATTTTTTTTGTTTGTTTGTTTGTTTGTTTTTTTGGGAAAGGGATTATACAAAGGGAAAGGGAGAGGGGGAGACAGGCATCTGGAGAAAGGAGGAGCAGGAGAGAGAAGAGAGGAAAGAGGATAGAGGGGCAGAAAGAGTAGGAGAGAGAGACAGAGGAACACAGAGAGAGAAAGAGAGAGGAAAGAGAGAGAGGAACATAGAGAGGGGGAGAAACAGAGAAGGATGGGAGGTGGACAGGGCCCTTTTAAAAGGGAACATAGTGAATGTGCACAGGTGGTGCTCTTAGTGACTACAGCTGAGGGCGTGTCCTGTCAGAACCCCAAGGACAGGCAGGTATAGATGCCTGAATACTAACCGGAATAACATTGGGTTTGAAACTTAATAGATAGAATTTATAGAGGATACTTTGAGTGTGATTTGTCAGCAGGAAGCCTATAGTAATTGTGCTTCATTTTCTTTATATGTTTAGGGGCTTGTTGCAGTTAGAGAACATCACTTATGGAATTGAGCCACTAGAGTCTTCAGCTACATTTGAACACATGATTTATCAAATAAAGAATAATAAAATTGATTATTCCCCCTTAAAAGAAAATTTAAATCCCCATCATGAAAGTCAGTCCTACCGAATTCTTGTAAAACCAGAGGTGAGTTGGTCCTTCATCTGGGCTATTTACATTGAAATTTTGAGACTGGGTGCATTGGGAAAACAAAGTGAAACTGTTGTATGATGGTAATTATTTTAAGCTATCATTGGTTTCCTCAGATAGTCTTTAAGAAAAGAACAAGTAGACATAATTTTAAAAATCATCAATACTTGTCACAATAGTTTGTATGGTTATTGTGTGGGTAGTTTGTATAGGTACGTGTAGTTGCTATTTGTGTGGACTTGCATTCCATGAACATAATCAGTCCTGGATTTACCTATTGATACTTTGTATTTTCTTTGTCAATTTATTTGCTTTGTAAAAAAGCATTGCTTTGCTACAAACTTTGAAAATAAAATGACTCATAACAATAACCAGAATTATGATGTATTTTCTGTCATATTCCTTGCCATAAATGAATAGTCATTAATGTCTAGATTTTTTTAAGGAAAAATAATCCAGTCATGGTTATATTACAATTTTTTCTATTAATATGATTTCATATTTTGCTTATTTTACATTTATTACTTTCTAAATTAAATTATTAATGTCAAGCTAATCTATTAAAATGCTAAATAAATGTGTGTGTAAGGAAAAATGTAAAATAGGAATGAACCAAAATATAATTTTCTCCAGTCAGAAGGTGCTGCGGGATGCTCTGCTCTCGTTCTGCACGGTGCTTTCACTCTGTCTCTGACAGAATATGTAAATATATATTGGTTTAGATGGAAAGTGCATGCTTTATGCAATTATATCAGCTTCTACTTAATATTTTCCCTTTGATCAGTAAATTAATTTGAGGAATATAGAAAAATTAACCTTTCTTATAAATAATGTCAGCCAATAGCAGGCACTCTTCCAAAATGATTGTTGGTATGTATCCTCACATCTCCTGTTACAATGTTGCTCACCGTCATGGTTGATCACCAGTGGCCCGAACAAGTTAATTTCTAGATATACATCCTTACTATATAAAACAGAATTAACCAAAAAAATCAATGGTGAATGAAGCTTGAATCTAATTAATGACAAACTACCCTTCACTGTTCCCTTACCTTGTTTTTATTTAATTTGTTGAAAGTGTGTATTTGAGTAAAGGCCAACAAATTTACACAGAAATCCATAAAGCTGATAGTCATAAACTGAATAGCAAAGTTGTACTCCATCACATGAGGAGCCCTGGTCAAATCAGTTGAAGGCTGAACAGAAAACCCACTCTCACAAACAGTCGTCTTTGGATTCAACTAGAACCTCAATGTCATGTCCTTCTGGGTCTCCAGCTGTGAGCTCCTGGCCTGCGAGTTCCAGGTTTCTGGATTCCTCACCAGACACTGGACCAACTGGCTTCTATCATCTCAGAAACCAACTCTCTCTCTCTCTCTCTCTCTCTCTCTCTCTCTCTCTATATATATATATATATATATATATATATACATATATATATATATGCACATTTCATGCTATTAAACATTAAGTTTTGAAATAAATAGCCTTGTTACAAAAAATATGTTCAAGAAGCCAGAAACCAAATCAGTAATGAGATATAAAGAGGCAAACATATTTCATTTTAAAAATACATAATAAATGATTCTCTACATGCCTTATCTTCAATTGAAGACATTCAACAAAGTCCAACAAAGGAAGAAAAAAGGAATCAAACTAAAGCAAGGTTATCCTTGTTTGCCTTATGATATCAAACAGTTTCTTTGCAGTCAAACTGTCTGTAGAGCATTTAAAGAATCCCAACATTAGAGATTATATCTGTCATCCCTGTTAGTGAAATAATTATGGTAAACAGTACTAAACCAGGACTCTTAACAGACATGTGGTTACCTGATTGAGGTTTTATTATGTTGATGGTTTTTTGTTTGTTTGTTTGTTTCACAGAAAACTTCAGATGTGTCACTAATGAAGAGGACCCTTTATGTCAAGATTGTTATGGATAAAGCCATGGTAGGACTGACCTGTCTTCCTGAGGTCTTGGTTTTGTAGTGAGATTGAGTAAGGATTGTGTATATATAACTTAAACTAATCCTTCCTTCCTTCCTTCCTTCCTTCCTTCCTTCCTTCCTTCCTTCCTTCCTTCCTTCCTTCCTTCCTTCCTTCCTTCCTGTTTTCATGTTATCATTCTTCAATGTGTGCAGTGTTTTGCCTGCCTTGTGTAGGTCTGTGTACTATGTGCATGCAGTACTCTCAGAGTCCAGAAGAGGGAGGCAGATGCCATGGAACTGGAGTTACAGATGGCTGTGAGTGGCCCTGTGAATTTGGGGGATTGAATTCAGGTGCTCTAGAAGGGCAGTAAGTGCTCTTAATTGCTGAGCTATCTTTCCAGTCTGCTTTTCACTGTTTTATACAAATGTATTTACTCTGTTCAAGTGTCAGTCATGATGACATGTGCCAGTAATTCCAACACTTAGGATGGGCAGGCAGAGAGGTTGAATTTCCAACAACCCAGGAAATTCTTGTCTCAAAAGATAATCATTTCTTTCTCTCTGCTCAAAATAATGTGCCAATCATATCAGTTGTCCTTATGCTGGTGTGAGGGGATTGTAGTAAAGCCATATAACTGCATGAACAGGTTCTACTACACAATCTCCCATCTTACTTTTGCAGAGAGACTAGCAGGTGCACCTCGATTTTTATTGAGACTAGATCTCATTTCCATTATACTGGAAGTTAGTACATTAAGTGTAAAATTGGATTGCATTTTCAAATATTTACTTCCTGAGCTTATTTTCTGTGTCACAGCTAGCTGGCTTCTTGAGTGGGAGCCGCATGATTTACAGATGAAAAGGTAGTTCCTTAGCACTCTAGTTACTTTGCACTATCCTCCCCAAACAGTATTTGTACACTGCCTTTCTTCCCCTCTGGGAATCTCATTTCCTGTCCAGTACTGACTGTTTGGTCAGCTCACCATTCTCTGGTTCCTAGTATTAAGCCCATGGTTCACTGAGTCACTTAGTCTCATGGCATGGATTCATTGTACCACATCACTTAACCAGTCATTTTGATTTTACCTTAGCTAATATTTACATGTGCCATAGTGTACAGAATAAATTATTTTATTTAACTCTCCAGGTTCTATTTTCCTCTCATTGAAAATATACTTTTCTTACAATACAGTTTGATTACAGTTTCTCCTTCCCCAACTCCTGCAAGAGCCTCCCAACTCCCCTCCCATCCAAATCCACACCTTTTCAGTTTCTTCTAAGAAGACAAACAGGCATCTAAAGAATAATTATAAAATAAAATAAGATAAAGCAATACCAAAAGAATCAGAATAGAACAAAACAGAAGTTTAAAAGCCTAACAAAAGTAAATCCAACATGAAACACATATAGATCCAGAAACACAAAGGTTGCACATACAGGAATTCCATAAAAACCCCAAACTGGAAGCCATAATATATCTAAAGGACTTTTGTTGTTAAAAAAAGAAAAGGAATAATGCCCTGATCTATTATGAGATGAGGAACCTCTAAAGATGCCCCTGGGTTCTTTTTGTGCTCTCCATCTATTGCTGGGCTTGGGGCCTACCTGCCCCTAAGAGTGAGACTCCCTTGGCGAAACCTATGTTATCATTTGCAAGCCATTATCACTTGGAGACAGCTTTGGGGATGGGGACTTGTGCCCTCTGCTCCTCTTAGCACTGGGTCCCATCTGGTGCAGGTCCTTGCAGACCCTGTGCATGCTGCCTCAGTCTCTGTGAGCTCATGTGTGTTGGATCCTGCTGTGTTGAGAAGGCCTTGTTTCCCTGGTGTCCCCATCACCTCTGGCTCTGACAGTCTCCCTGCTCCTCTAGCCCCCAGGACAGAGATTCGATGGAGATATCCCATTTGGAATTGGGTGTCTCCATCCCTGCACGTTGTGCATTAGTGGGCCTCTGTGTCTGTCCCACGTGCTGCAATCAAGCAGCGTCACGGGTTGTATGACGTCGTCTGCGTCCGGTTAAGCACCATCACCAGGTGTGCATTGCCAACTTCCTCCTGGGCTTGTGGAAGAGTCTGCAACTCTTTCTCATCTGACGTTGTCTGGGCCTCCCAGATGTGAACATTTTAACCTGTCCAACAGTTTTGGGTTTTTGAACAACAGCACAGCAGCATTTCCTGTCTCTGTATGGATGGGCATTCTCCTCTGCCCAGTATTCACAAAGTTGGTGTTAGAAAGACCGTGTTTTATATTTATGTATAGTCTGTCCGTACTACAGACAAGTTTCTATGTACGCACATTATAGCTAATGTTTGACTTGGTGTCTCAAACCTCTATGTGTCTACTATTAATTGGCTTGCTACTAAAAAGGATCATGTAAATTATAAATGTAATTAACACACAATCATAAACAATATTTTCAGATAGTATTATGACTATCATTTCCTTAAACTCAGGTATACTCTGGTAGTTTCCCACCAGCTGGCATACATCCTGAGTTTCTTTAATTGCAATGAAGCCTTCATGATAGAGAAGGGAATGAGGTCATCGTGAGTCAGTTACAGATGCCTGAATTTTGTCCTTATAAGTTATGTGCTCTGGAACTTTGATACATCCAATCTTAATTTCTGTGCCCCTAGGAGGAAGTTAATTACAGCTATCCCTTTTAATAGTCTCAATCATTAAGACCCTGGGTTATGTGTAAACCACAGGAAAGACAGTAACTAGGAAAGATTACAAACACAGAGGATTAACTGACAACCAATTTTAACACATTTTCACTTTGCGTCTTCAATTGAGTACTGCATTATTTTAACTTGTGTATTTGAAACTATTAAAGAGTGATTGTTTGATCAGTTATAGTGGTAATCAAGACACAAACTTGTCTTTCAGTTTGACCATATGGGCTCCGAGATGGGAGTTGCAATTCAGAAAGTTGTTCATATCTTTGGTCTCATTAACACGGTGAGTACTTCTGCTGTGGTTGAAGTAAGAGAATAATGCTAACCCACTGACATGGTTTCTGTGATTAGCCACGTGTCTTTAGGAAGTGTGTACTCCTCCCTGCAGTTTGACCCATGAGTTGGGTTATCTCCTCTGAGCAATAAGGTGAATGGAACCTCAGCATTTACAGACAGGGCAGGAAGACTGGCCACTGAAACTGAAGAGAGTTGTCCTTTCAGATGTTTTCCCAGCTGCAGATGACTGTGATGTTAACCTCTCTAGAGATCTGGTCAGATCAAAACAAGATTGAAACAAATGGGGTTGCTGATGAAGTTCTGCAAAGGTTTCGGTTGTGGAAACAGAGCCAGCCATCTGAAAGAGGCAGGGTTATCACGTATTTACTCCTGTAAGTACTTTATCTACACCGATGGGGACTTGCCTAACCGTTCAAAGGCAACTGTCAAAGTCCTGTGCGTGTAGCTGTGCCAGCATAAGCAAAATGTAAAGATCTGATCACGTATTCAAATGTTGTTCCCCAGAACCCATCACCCCATTCTACCTCAGCACTAGGGTGGGGGTATGAAAAGCAGCAGGATGAATGTGGACGTCTGTGTTTATAAAGACTCACTGGGAAATGTTCACACCATGATGTTAATGCTATGAATACAGTAATTACCCATGTTGCATGTTGCTGGTTAAAATGGTTAATAACTGAACTGGACCGGTCACTTCCCTGCACCTTTGTCTACTCTCCAGTTTCTATAGTGACCTGACATGTAGCTGTTAGCTACTTGCTGTGCATGCTTTGAGAGTCTTCATGTATGTTTCATCATTCCTCACTCAATCATTTTATATGAAAATAGGAGATGTTCACTCACGAAGATCTCAAGCGATTTAAAAGGAACTACATGTCGTCTCTTGCCTCCTTTTAGGTTCAAAGCCAGGGTTGGGTATTTGAAAGCAAAACTAATTGGCTAATTTCTGCATACTACCGCTTTTTTTCTTGTTGTACCTCTCTTTCTTTCTCCCTCTCCTCTGGTTCAACACTGTATACAGTTTTAAGATTTGTCCAATATGTGAACAGCTTGATAATAGGTAACACTGGCCTTTAGAGTTTATAGTCAATATAACATCCAGTGATGGGGATCCTGTGGGACAGGTTATGGAAATACTAGGCACTTCTAGGTTTTGGATTGGGTATCATAGAATCCTAAGCATCATTTTAACTTAAATACCTATCAAGCAAGGAGGACATACAATTTGTGCTTTCACTAATCAATCAATGGCTGGTAGCATGAAGCATATTGCACGCTGAATACCATGTTTTAACGATACAGAACTTACAGGAATCCACTGCTTAAATGTCCTTTCTAGTAACATTTTGGAACAAGTGCATTGACATAAAATTTCAATTTAGGTATAAGGATTACCCTGATTATGTGGGAGCGACATATCACGGGATGGCCTGCAACCCAAAGTTTACAGCAGGAATCGCTCTGGTATGCCTTCTGTTGTCCCTGTCCCTTGAATGAAAAGACTAGGAATGTATTTGCATACTTTTTTATAATAGTATTTTTTTAGACTTTTAATGTTATAACTTATAAAAGAGTTGGTCTGGTTAGGGAAAACACCCTGAAGTTGGGATTCCAACCAGTTCTGTGATGGTAACTGTATTCACTTTATTGTAAAGTAAGTCTCAAGATAAGTTTATCTTTAAAAATGAATCTCTGTATCAATCAAGCAGACATTCCTATGTCCCAGGTGATGCCATCTCATGTTCTGTTTCTACTGTCATAACAACTTTGGGGTCTACATGTAAGTGGGATGGTTCAGTATGTCTTTCTGGGACAGAGTTATTGCAAGCAATGCAATGTACTTAAAGTTCTACCTATCCCACAATGCATGCAAGATTTCCTTTTTAATGACTGAATTAATATATCTGTCCATTCCACAGATGCTTCCTTTATTCCCATGCTCTTGTTCTTCACCATGTTTCAAGGCACACAATAGGGCAGATACCTCTTTAGTTGTCTGTTCAGAGGTCAGATTGCTGAATTATGGATCTGTCTTGTTACTAATATTTTTGTGGGATGTAATATTTGCTTTGAAAGAGGCTATACCAGTCTATAATCCTCTTGCCAACATATAATTAGCTGCATAGTCACTCAAAGTTACTTTGTTTTCTTTTAGTTAGTAGAGAGAGGCTAATATGCATGATGCTACATCTTCTCATTGCTTTTGATTGTGTCTCTGCCATGTCAAATGATGCCATACCAGTTCATATACTTGATAGACTTTGGCACATATTACCAGAGAAATAGTTATTCAAGTATTTGACTTATTTTTTAAGTGATTTATTGCTTTGTTGTTGGGTTGTGGACATTCTCTACATTATGGATATTAATCCATTTGTCAGACGTGGAGTCTATAAATTTTTTTCAATTCCTGTGTGTGTTTATCTTCACTTTGGTTTTATCATGACATTGAAACAGGGATGTTTAAGACAGTGGCAGAAGTTTCTTTGCTCATCTTTGCCTTTACTCCCATCCTTCTGGGGTGTGGTAGAGACCACACCCTGAATCTTTCCTGTTATCTTCTCCTCAGTAGTTGTGACCTTCTCACTTAGGTCTTGACTTTGTTTTCAGCTAGTTTGTAGATATAGTAAACATAAAAATATGTGAATGCTTTTTTCATGTGGCTGTCTACCCTGATAACCTACACCTTTATTGGGGGGATTTTTAATTCATTCGTATTCAAAACAGTTTGTGGTAGGAAAAGATTTCATGCTTCCACTTTTGCTATCATTTTGCTATCATATAGATTATTTTCCTGTCTTCCTTCAAATCTATGCTGTGTATACGCTGTATAGATTCTACATGTTTTAACCCCTCCTGTACTAAATCACTGTTGTGTGTGTTATTAATTTTTGGTGATTTTGATCTCTTTCATTGCATGTATATTTCATAGATTTTGTTGTTTACCATTGCACTTGGCCAAAATACTAAATTTAATTCTGTTATAATAAAATTTTATTTAAATTAAAAAATTTCTTCAATTTCTAAAGTATAAATTGATTACCAATTAAATCTTCATGGTGTAAATTTTTCCTAATTATCATCTCAAAAAAATCGTCACTAAGATTATTCTTCTTCCCTAGATGTTTTTATGCTTTTTTTGAATTCTATTCAATAATATGCAAGAAATGCAAGCTTTCTTTTCATTTTTTTCCATTTAAATCAGAAACAGACCTGTTTTACATGTCAATCCCAGTACCCTCTCCCTCTCTTCCTGCCCTGCCCCCCTCACCAACCACCTATCCCATCCCCATTCTGCTCCCCAGGGAGGGTGAGGCCTTCCATGAGGGATCTTCAAAGCCTGTCATATCATTTGGAGCAGGGCCTACACCCTCTGCTGTGTGTCTAGGCTGAGAGAATATACCACTTTTTGGACTGGGCTCCCAATGTCCATTCCTGTACTAGGGATAAATACTGATGCACTGCTAGAGGCCCCATAGATTAACCAGACCTACAGACAAATGCAAGTTTTTTCACAGCAACTTTATTTTCCTATATGTCAGCTCCATTTGGCTTAAAAGATTTTGCTTAAAAACGAATATCACAATTTGCTCATTTTCTTTTGCATTTTACAGTCTTAAGAGTTTTTTTGGTCCAGTTTCTTGAATTTGCGTTGTAATTTAGGTACCATTGCCAAATAAAGCCTGAGAAACCAAACAGGAAGAAGTAGGAGGAGCAAGAGAGGAAGAGGAGGAGGAGGAGGAAGAAGAGGCAGAGGAGGAGGAAGAGGAGAAGGAGGAGGAGGAAGATGAGGCAGAGGAGGAGGAGGAGGAGGAAGAGAAGGAGGAGGAGGAGGAGGAGGAAGAGAAGGAGGAGGACGAGGAGGAAGAGGGGGAGGAGAAACAGGACTGACACACTAATTCTGTTCCTTTTCTCTGCCTAGCATCCAAAGACCTTAACCGTGGAGGGCTTTGCTGCTGTCCTGTCACAGCTGCTTGGGATTAACCTGGGGTTAACGTATGACGATGTCTACAACTGCTTCTGTCCCGGAAGCACCTGCATCATGAACCCTTCAGCAATGTAAGGGGCATCTCCAGGTCAGGTCTCTGTAGACGCTTAGGAAATACTTGCAGTGTGTCCTGACTTACACTTTGACCAAGTATCACCGACTAGCAACAGCTTAAATGAATGCATGCACAATATTTAAAGCACGCAGAACAGAACGAGCTCAGGGTATTACTGAAAACATGCTTGCCAGTTCTTTACAGCCAGCATCCAGTCAGCTGCTCGTATATGGAGTGAGTGTTGACTTATGGGCTCTTTTGTCAGTATTGTCAATATGCCTCTATGGAAGAAATGCATCAATGCTAAACAGAGAAGGCTCCAGGGCTCAGCAGACCCGTGGATAAGGAGATTTGGCTGTGTACATTGGGGCAGAGGGAGATAAAAGGTTCCAAAACAACTTAGATGCTACTGAGACTATAAGGAAGAACATTGTAGGGCCTGGGGCAACAAAGCGAAGGGCAGCCTGGCTAAAGAGTCAGATTCAGGGAAAGAATAAGGGGATGAGAGAGAGGTGGAGGGCAGAAGCCGAGATCTTTGCAGACTGGGAGATTTCATAATAAGCTAAGTGTTACGCAGTTAGTTAACACAGCATGGATAATGAAATGTATCCTGCAGAATGTGTGCGATGCCCCACATGGAGATCAGACACAGTCTCTGAGGGAGAAGAGTGTACTCATGACCATCCATAGGGATTTGTTAACACTGCAAAGTAAAGCCATTGAAGAGTCACTCATAGGCAGGCTCTTGGCTATCACAGTGCACTACTAAAGATTGAAATATTCTGAACGGTTTCATTTGTTGCATCTGGCTTCCTATTAGTTGTCTGTTAGTCTTTCCAAGAAATCCGTTAAAATACACTGCATTTTAACTTGGACCTCAAGGACAAGTGCTCTAGAATGCACAAACCTTCAGCCATGGGACAGAATTGAAATTATGGTCAGATGGTGTTGAGAGAAGTCGTGAGGTGAAGAGAGAAGCTACGGCACAGGGGGTAGGTTGGGGGTTGCTGAAGGACATGGAATCTTCCCAAGGGAGGAGGAGCCTGTGTGATGAATGAAGGAGACTATGGAAGCCACATGCAAAACTACGTCCAACCAGAAGCATCAGTCTTGGTCTCCCCAGAGGCTTTCAAGCACTAGAGAGGAAAAAGTAGGAAAAACTAGGGGAAATACCCTCTTCACTATATGGCAGGTGGGTATGGTAGCAATCCTACTCTCAGACCTGCATCGAGCTTCTGGTATTGTTAACTCTGTTGAAACTGTTGCAGTGTTTTCGTGTGTGCCCTGAAGCTGAGGCCTGGAGCGCTCTACCTCCCTCCACTTTCTGTATATTGATCCTAAGAAATTACAATAGAAACAGCACTGCTTTTGTTTTAACTGGCCAGCATTAAAAGCAGAGGTGACTCTCTCTCTTCCTGTAATGTGAATATTCGGGGAACCGTACACGTTATGTTACTTGAATAACTGTTGCGTTCCTTTTATCTGAGGGATAATAATTTATTTTTAGACGTTCGCAGGGCATCAAGGTTTTTAGCAGCTGCAGCATGGATGCATTCAAACAGCTGGCTTCACAGCCTGCCCTAGACTGCCTCAGGAAGGAGCCAGAGCCAGAGGTTGTCGCTCTGCCCCAACATTCACATTGTGGCAATCACCACTTGGAGTCACCAGAGGAGTGTGATTGTGGCCCTCCAGAGGTTAGTGAGACTGTCGTGGTTCATCCCAACACTTGATCTATGTATCACATACACTCTTGCATATGTAATGGAAAAGGGGAGAGCATCATTTTAAAACAGGCATTGAAGATGTGTAGAACATGAAATGCTTGTCTTTGGGTGTAGATTCCCTCACCATCAGTCAATGTGCAGAGTTGTTGGGGCCAGTCACAATGGCTACATTTATGGAACACTACCACACCTAAGGTTCAGGGGACATTGTGAATGAGAGGGTAGAAAGATTGTAGGAGCCAGAGTACCAGGGAGTTTGCTTTGAGATTGTGTCTCCTAGTGATATAGGAGTTGTGTGCATAAAGGCTCACCAACATGGCTCTTCACACATTTGCTGAATGAGGAAGGCACCAATGAACATGTTAAAGCAAAAGGGGGGAAAGCCCACGAGGCCTCAGCCCTACATAAAACCTGCCTATATCTAAGGAATGTTGAGGGGGAGAAATGATCTCCCTTGAGGAACAGTTGATTATACAATATCTACGTCCAGCCCTGACAACATACATGCAAGTAACATTCCATAGACTGGGCTGGTGATATTTAAGAATATGTATGTATAAACATATATGAATATAATAACAAGTAATGTATATAATATATGCATATAATAACGATTAATGGGAAAAGAGGCTACGAAGATGAGACAGCAAGAGGACTACATGGGAGGGCTTGATAGGAGGAAATTACAACATCAGGCATTAGCATCAATCAGAAAGTAGCTGGTTACCCTTAAAATGTTCATGCCACCTTGTGTTTCTCATTAAGCCCAATGTTTTAGCTCTCAAGTTTCACAGGCTATTCATTCTTCAGTAGCCTGAATAGTGCCTTATGAAAGCTAGCCAGTAGGTAGGAGTCAGGCTGGGTTCCTCCATGTCTTGTGATCAAAGTATTCAATGTCTACAGAAACTGAGTCCTTCCATCAGTTTCTATTGGATAATTTAGAGCAGTGGCAATGTCCTGTATTTTTTTCGTGTGTGTGTGTGTGTGTGTGTGTGTGTGTGTGTGTGTGTGTGTGTTAGATGCTATAAGATCCTTTGCCCAACAACTCAATGGGGTTACTCCACACCTGCTAACTGGACTTTTTATGTGATAACGTATGACATCCAAAAGAGGCATTATCCCTCTGTGTGGTATAAACTCATATGTATATATTAGAGAACTTTGAAAATAGCATATTTTTAAATAATTTTTTTTATTTTTTTATTTTTAAATTTAAATTACAAACAAGGTTGCTTCCTTCGCATGTCAATTCCAGGTCCATCTGCCTTTGCCTCCCCTCCTCCCGTGCCTTCCACCAACCCTCCCAATAACCCTTCACTTCCCACGGCAGGGTGAGGCCCTCCATGGGGGTGTCCATAGTCTGTCATTTCATCCAGGGCAGGGCCTAGACCCTCCCCCAAGAGTTCAGGGTGAGAGTGCATCTCACATTGTTGGATGGGAGTCCAAAGTCCATTTGTACACCCGGGGTAAATACTGATCTACTACCCAAGGCTCAATAGATTGCCTAGGCCTCCTCACTGACACCCACATTCAGGGGGTCTTGATCAGTCCCATGCTGGATTCCCAGGCATCAGTCTGGGATTCAAGAGCTAACCCTTGTCAGGTCAGCTATTTCTGGGGTTTAAACCAGCCCAGTCTTAACCCCTTTGCTCATCAGTCCTCCCTCTCTGTCACTAGATTTCTTGAGTTCAGTTCAGTGCTTAGCCATATGAGTCTGCCTCTGCTTCCATTAGCCACTGAATGAAGGTTCTGTTTTCCAGACTATCTGGCCATGGGATTGTAGGCTGGCACTCCCCAGATCTATGTCTAAATTCCATATATGAGAGAGTACATGCCATGTTTCTCTTTTTGTGACCGCGTTACCTCACTCAGGATGGTTTCTTCTAGTGCCATCCATTTGCCTGCAAATTTCAGGATTCCATTGTTTTTTTCTGCTGAATAGTACTCCATTGTGTAAGTGTACCACATTTTCTGTATCCACTCTTCAGTTGAGGGGCATCTAGGTTGCTTGCAAGTTCTGGCTATTACAAATAATGGTGCTGTGAACATAGTGGAACAGATGTCCTTGTTGTATGATGGGCATCTTTTGGATATACACCTAAGAGTGGAGTTGCTGGGTCTTGTGGTAGGTTTTTTTCCCATATTTCTGAGGAATCTCCATACTGTACGAGTTGGCACTCCCACCAGCAATGGAGGAGTGTTTCCCTTTCACCACAACCTCTCCAGCATAAATTGTCGTTGGTGTTTTTGATTTTAGCCATTCTGACAAGAGTTAGATGGTATCTCAAAGTTGTATTTAATTTCTATTTCCCAGATGGCTAAGGATGTTGAGCACTTTCTCAAGTGTCTCTCAGCCATTTTAGACTTCTCTATTGAGAATTCTCTATTTAGTTCTGTAGCCCAATTTTTAACTGGATCCTTTGGTTTTTTGAAGACTTGCTTCGTGCATTCCTTGTAAATTTTGCAGATCAGTCCTGTGTCAGATGTGGGGTTAGTGAATATCTTTTCCCATTCTGTGGGCTGCCTTTTTGTCTTGCTGACTGTGTCCTTTGCCTTACAGAAGCTTCTCAGTTTCATGAGGTTCCATGTATTAATTGTTGATCTCACTGTCTGTGCTACTGGTGTTATATTCAGGAAGCTGTCTCCTGTACCAATTCATTCAAGGGTACCACCCACTTTCTCTTCTAAGAGATTCACTGATGCTGGATTTATGTTGAGGTCTTTGATCCATTTGGACTTAAGTTTTGTGCATAGTGATAGACATGGATCTATTTGCATTCTTCTACATGCCAGCTTCCAGTTACGCCAGCACCAATTGTTGAAGATGCTTTCTTTTTTCCATTGTATATTTTTAGCTTCTTTGTTGAAGATCAGATGTTCATACATGTATGGGTTAATATCAGGGTGTTCAGTTCGATTCCATTGGTCTACATGTCTATTTTTGTGCCAATACCAAACTGTTTTCAGGACTACAGCTCTATAATAAAGGTTGTGGTTGGTGATGGTGGTGTCTCCAAATGTTGCATTGTTGAGTAAGGTTGTTTTGCCTATCCTGGGTCTTTTGTTTTTCCATACAAAATTGATAATTGTTCTGTCAAGGTCTGGGAAGAATTGTGCTGGCATTTTAATGGGGAATTGCATTGAATGTGTAGATTGCTTTGGCAGGATTGCCATTTTTACTACATTGATCCTACCTATCCAAGAGCATGGGAGATCCTTCCATTTTCTGAGGGCTTCTTTAATTTCTTTCTTTAAAGACTCAAAGTTCTTGGGATACAGGTCTTTTACTTGTTTGGTTACCATTACCCCAAGGTATTTTATGTTGTTTGTGGCAATTGTAAATGGTGATGTTTTTCTGATTTCTTTCTTAGCCCTTTTATCATCTGTATATAGTAGGGCTACTGATTTTCTTGAGTTGATCTTGTAGCCTGCCACTTTGATGAAGGTGTTGATCAGATGTAAGTGTTCCCTGGTAGAGTTCTTGTGTCATTTATGTGAACTCTCATATCATCTGCAAATAGTGAAAGTTTGACCTCTTCCTTTCCAATTTGTATGCCCTTATCTCCTTTTGTTGTTATATGGCTCTGGCTAGAACTTCAAGTACAATATTGAAAAGGTATGGAGAGAGTGGACAGCCTTGCTTGTTCTTGATTTTAGAGGAATTGTGTTGAGTATTGTCGCTCCTGCTGTGCGGCCTGCATCCGAGAATGTAGCGAGGTGGTCGGGATAGATGACACAGAGACCGGTCGGTTGCTTTAAGAAAACTTTATGCTTCCCAAGTCAGCTTAGGTGACCCCAGTCCGCTTAGGAGAGAGCTCTCAGGAGAAGTCTCTCTAAGAAAAAGGAGCTTCCCTTTTTAAGGACTTCTGCCATTCATCTACATACCATTTTTTCCAGACTTCTCACCCGCCTGGCTGGTGGTTTAATCTCCAGCCCCAGAATCGGGGAGACACCACAGGGAAACAGGAAGAGGCATCTAGCCATAGTGGATGTGAAAGGCATGGTATTTCAGTGAGTAAGCCCTTATCTGAGCCCTATCAAGAGCTTTAGCACTTAATTGTTTTCAGTAAACATTACACAGCTGCCTGCTCCCAGGCCAAAGGGGAAGTGGGTTTCTGCTCAAGGTCTGGTGTCCCCACAATTTACCCCTTTTTATTTTTAAATGAGGCACTCCTGGCTTAGGTCAAGTAGGGTCACCCTCCCTGGCCCGTCTTTGGGGGACCTTGAACCCCTGTCTTAGGTGGGAGAGGGTCTTCCCCACAGGTTGCCCGTCTTTGGAGTAGCCCCACCCTTAGAATCATCTGTAATAAGGCTTTATGGCTATCGGGATTGTCATGGGCTAAGGCACTTTGAACTCAGCATGAAGCCAGAATGCCTACTGTCACTGTTACTATTCCTAGGACCCCCACTGACATAGCGCCTCTCTGTCATCTGCCCATCCCCCGATCTGGGCCTTAGCATTCTACCACCAGCCTTTCTTTGCTACAAGGGTGATTTATAGTTACAATTTGACGGTCAAAACAGTGATAACGTTTACAATCATTTTAAGATCTACTTAGGAAAGCACTAGAGAGTGCACTTGCACAGATACATTAGGTACAATCATTGATGTTACACATGTAGCATTATAAAAAATATGAACAAGAGGCTTGTGTACTATTTACAGAGTACCAATTTGTTCCTGTGGTGATGTAGTCTGTCGATTTAATGTCAGTAGTATCAGCCGAACATGTAACCCGAGTCAAAGTCTTTTTGTCGCACCAGGACAAACCACATTTCTCCAGAAGAACACACTGGCATAGGTGTGATTCCAGAAACAGGAACTACCAAGTCTGATATTTCAAGTGACCATGTCCTGTTTAAATACTGAAAAGAGGCTTTTGCCACTCATCACAGTCCATACCAATGTCCAAATGTTTTAAATGGGTCCTTTTTCCCCCAAAGGGAAAAGCTGGCAAAATGAATTCTGT